TATTGCTATTGAATTGTGAATAATTATTGTTAGGTATAGGCTGACGTTACTAGAGTAACTCAAATTACTAGAACAATTCTTATACAGTGTTTGTTTATTTACATTTTTGTAAACCTTGAATGATACAGACAGATAATTATTAAATAAAAAGTTGATTGACACTTGAATTTCATGTTGATTTTTAATGTTGCCTGTAGCCTATGACAGTGTGGTGGTGATGATTGTTAATTGCAGTACAGTATAATAATGGTTACAAAACAATTTAATTACAAAATATAGAAATGACAAAATCCTCTGATTCCCTTCGGAAACTGGGTATATTGGTTCAAAGAAGAAAAAAAAAGCCACAGGTCTTAATGCCAACATTTCTTTTTTGTATTTAATTGCATATACATGGTGAAATGTACCACCTCTTTTCATCATCGGGGTGGCGCCAGGATTTGCCCGAGGGAGAGGGGGAGGTCCTTGACCGGGGGTGGGGCTGATTCCCTCGACGAGTACTCAGACTTAACCAACGAAAGGAATGTGGGCGTGGTCGAGCTTCAATTAAAAAGTCCTGAAAGTGGTCCAGTGGGCGAAGCCCCCCAAAAATCTTAAATGTTCAGGGGAATGGCATCCTCCTTCCCCTCCGCTGATGCCACCCCCCCTTTTTTTTAATCATTATTACTTAGTCAAGATTTTTATCATATTACTTAATGAAGATTAACAATATTGCTTAACAACAATAGCAACATTATAATACATTATAATTAAAAATATAATACCAAGACTAATGATAATAATATTAATGATTATAATATTTATAGTAATAATAATAATACGTTAATAGCAATGATAACAATAATATACAAATATTACAATAATAATAAAATAATAATATTTATTATTTTTATTCTTATTATGATGATATTAATAATAAAAAGGGTGCTAATAGATGTAGTATGCAAAAAAATGGTATCTGTTCTTAACGAATATTCGGCCTATACAATAATAATATAATACATATAAATATATATTATATAGTAAAAATATTAAAGGTTAATGTTGTTGATGATGATGATGATGATGATGATGATGATGATGATGATGATTACGATGACTTGTCGACTTCTTTTTTGTAAGATGGAGAATGTGTGAAAGGGAGATTCTTTCTGATGTCCATGTTTTCGTGGCGCATAGCAATGGATGTCATGTTATTCAAAACAACGGCGTTGCAGTAGAGGTGCTGCCTGTGCCAAATCTATTTTGCAATCATGAGGAAGCTGACACAAGGATGATATACTGCACAGTGTGTGTGCAGCAAAGTCAAACAGTCGCATTGTTTTCAATAGCCCAGATACAGATTTGTTTTGAAATTTTTGACATTCTATGCCTATTTACTGTAATAAAAATGAGAAAATGTTACTGACCGTTTTCAAGAGGGGGAAAACGTTGAATTTTGAAGAACTTAAAAGTTATTAAAAGACACTGCAGAAGTCAGGAAAACTCATTTCCCGCCATATAGGAATCAAAATTTTACCGGAGCCCCTTTCATTTTGTGGGTGTGGAAACATTCTGACCCCCCACCCCCTCTAAAATTTAACCCAGATCCGCCCCTGTGTTTTGCTTTATTATCAATTGTCTCACAGAAGTCAATGCCAGTAGGTATCACTATGTCACGTTTAAGAAAGCTCGAACACAGCCTAGTTTTTATTTACAGGTGTTTATTTATTTATTTATTATTAATATTATTATTATTATTATTATTATTATTATTATTATTATAAAGAAATGGAGAAAAAAGAAAATTATATTCAAATTTAAAGCTTCAGAGGAAAATTATTTTTGTAATGTTGTAGAACTGATTTTTCTAAGACACGAAAAGCATATTTGACAAAACAAACAAAATACTGTAATAATTTACTATTTTTAAGCAGTTCTTTAATCCTCACCGATAGACCGAGAGAGCCCCTCGCAAGCATTCCTCAATTAGGCAATCCTTAAGTAGGCTTAGCTCCTGTTATTTTTGCAAATAAATGATATGTGACGACCAGCAAAAAATATGTATATCAAAATGTAATTAAAATCCGTATATAGGGTAGGCCTATATAGATTGTTGCTCTTTAAATTTGAATATAAGCGAGCCCCTTTCATTCAACAAATTTATTCAACAAATAACAAATCGTATGTTATTAATTTGATTATTAATATTTATAAATATTAAAATAGTATAGGTCAGTTGGCCGCAATATATAAACTGTGCTTTGCTGTAAATGTTATAAATTGTAAGTGTTATATGATATACAGGATCTGTGATATATATTTAACTTGTGTAATTATGTAACGTACATTTTGATTGTATTAAAAGTCTCGCCTCTGTTTTAATATTGTATTATGGCTGTACAGTATGTTACTTCCATGAACACATTGCAAGAGCGTGTCCGCTGTTTTAAAAGCGTCGTTTTCAAAATAAAGTTATAATAATTATATAATAGTATGCAATAGAAACAGCAAATCATTTTCAAGATTATAAAACATCATCTTCATTTTCATTGTCATTCGTATTTATACAGGCTGTACAAACAATTGAAATTAAGAAGAACGATTTTTAATATTGTTTAGCGAACAACTTTTAAAGATCGTCAGAAAAGGGCGAAAAAAAAAATTAATTTTTTTTTCTTATTTAGCTTAAATTCTTTTCCGAACACATCTAGGCGAATAAGAAAACAAAAATAAAATATTAATGATGAACGTAAACAGTGTAACAATGCAATTG